GAAATTGAAGTTGTTTTTCTTATCTGGAATGGTTGCCCTCTTTTACTAGACACGCAGCTTCCAGGGGGATGCAATGGGAGGAAAAGAGGCCACCCAGCCAGATCAGCTAAACCAACTCTTGCAATCAATGGGGTGACAGATGTCACAGAAAGATCACTCTCATATCTATTCCTACTCAGTCACTTGAGTTCCATAAACAGATGTCAAATTACACACCCTGTTGTAAAGTTGAAATTTAGATACAGAAAATCTAAGCGTCAGTCCTTTCCATTAAAATTATCAATTCTATCAATCTACTTAAAGTTAGTTAAAATGTTAGCATAGGAATAATTCTAAATATATCAATATGAAATAACATTCATTGCTTGCACATTAATTTCACATACATTTTAAACATTGTTTATAATTTTACATTTATCTCAGATTTTTTAAAAGTAGCTTCATATGAAGAATGTGTCCTCGACTTGCCAAAGAATAGAAAGAATTCAAACTGCAATTGAAATCTGAATTGTTACAAATTTCCATAGAAACACTTAAAATATAGAAGACTTCAATTAACTGAATAATCAATTCTGTACGGAAAAAAAAACCACGTTGTGAGCATTACTGTTTTGGAATGCAAATCCTGCTGTATAGTTAGAACAAAAAGCTTTTAAATTTCATTTTAAAATTATCTTCAAATCACACATAGAAAATAATTCACTTGCATACTAATATTGCTAAAGTGCTAAATTTAAAATTACATCAAAAAACTCAAGTTTCTAGCCAGCTGGGAACACAGATCCTAAACAAATGCCACCATTTATTACTTGAACATTAGAAACTTGTGTCCTCCTGATATTTCTCTCTTTTTATAGTACACAAAAAAGGCAGAAAGTAGAACAAGTCTTTACTAACTAATGTATTCAGCTTCCCACAGTGAGTACCAGGGAATAAAGTTCATTTACATAAAAAGCTCTTTGTCTTAACAGGCCAAAGTAAGGGGCTTCATTGACATTTTAAAAGGAAAAAAATATGGTTGCAAAGGCTACCAAAAACACTGCTCTCATTAAATGATGGAACACTACACATTTGAACAAGGTCCTTAACAAGCCAACTACCACAGTAACAAAAATACTGCCCAATATTCAAGGCAGACGATCAGCTTGAACAAAGGAAAATATTCAAAAAAAAAACTATTAGAAGAATGTTCAGCATTTTCATTTTTCAAGAATGCCACACAAAGCCTGCCTATTTGGGGAAAAAAACTGCACACTTGAAAGAAAATGTCAGAAGATTTTTATATTGGCTAATTTCATCATATTACATCTGTCTTTGGAATCAATTAAAATGCAATTGTGAAGCTCACAAACTGATGGCTAGAATTTTACTTTTCACATTTCAGATTTATTAGCTGGATTCACATATCAAGTTAAACTGTGAACTGACTGGTTTTTATGGAATAAGCTACAGTGTTTCAGATCACAACTGAATAGGCCAAAACAGAAATCTCATTACAGCCAGTACAGGTAGTCCTCGACTTATGACCATAATTGAGCCCCAAATTTCCATTGCTAAGTGAGACCATTGTTAAGTGAGTCTTGCCCCATTTTATGATCTTTCTTGCCACAGTTGTTAAGTGAATCACTGCAGTTGTTAATACCACGGTTAAATGAATCTGGCTTACCCATTGACTTTGCTTGTCAGAAAGGTGATCACAAAAGGTGATCACATGAGCTTGGGACTCATAAATATGAATCATTTGCCAAGTGTCCAATGTTGCAATGGTCATAAATGTGAAAAATGGTCAGAAGTCACTTTTTCAGTGCCATTTTAACTTTGAATGGTCAGTAAACAAACTGTTGTAAGTGGTGGACTACCTGTACAATGTGGCTTGAATTTTCTGGCTGAATGGGACCTTTTGTAAACTATGTTTCAGGGCTTAACTTGTTTGAATCTATCAAATTGTGATTTATTCAATAATCCATAGTTGAACATTAGTCTTTTCTACACAGCTTGTTTCAGTAATCATATTCTTTGTTTTTCAAATCAAGATTTGGAGGATTGGAAACAAATAAGGAGCGTGTACATGCTTTTTCACCCTGTTCCCCCCCCCCCACTTTGGCTTTTATAGAAGACTTGCAAATCACAGATTTATAGTTCAATAATCACAGGAAATTGTGGTTTAAGAAAATCAGGAAGTCTTCTATGGGGAAAAAAAGAAGAAAAAAGATATACAAGTATTAAGTTTGTTCCTTGTTCTCTATCTTTCACAAAATGGTTGGAGAATTAGGAATCTGATGTCTGAATACAAAATATATCTCAATTCACACATCATAGCCATTGTGATTGGTAAATCGTGGCTTATGATGACATTACATGAGAAGCAGCCTATATGGTTTGTTTAACCAATTCTAATTAAAATAAACCATGGATTAAAATATATAAACCCAGTCATAATATAATCCTGTGCATATACTTGAGTGGAAATGCTACTGAATTCAGTGAGCCCAACTACAAAGCAAGCGGGAACAGGAAGGAGCTGCACATGATAATTTCAGATAATAACTACCTTGTCGTATTCAACTAAATCTTTTAAACGCTATTTGAACATTACAAGAGATGCATATTAATTTCTGGTACAATTAAAATACTAGCAATGACCTTTCAGGATCAGAAAAAATACTTTCAGAGGAGTCCTTAACTATTATTTCAACAATAGTTAGAAAAAGGAAGTTAATGAAAACATTTTTTAGGAATACATGGCTTTCAATATTTTGTTTGTTCTTGTGAGACCCTTCCTACTAGTCACACTTTATAATTTAGCCTTCAAATTGTAAACTGAAAGGATATTTTAAATTATTTGGGATTCACATCTTTGAACCTCTAGGACAGAATGCAAAGTATAGTTTTACAACCAAACTTCACTCATTTGCTGGGGATGCTGCAGTTGTAGTCAGGGATGAATGCTTCATCCTCAAGTGAATTATTACAGAAACCATATGTAAAACCATATACCATTATGTATGAGACCATAGTCACACACCTTATAATTGCACCCCCTTTTAAGGTTAATATATAAATCTGTAATTAAAAAAAATATTTATAAAACCTATACTCTACTGCAGTTTATGTTATAATCTCAGCAATTTATGGTTTCCTTACACCAGTATTTTTCAAATTTCATGCTGGCTGGGGAATTTTGAGAATTGAAGTTCACATATCTTAAACTTGCCAATCTTGAAAAATGCCATCTTACATCATTTGAAATTTACTTGAAGACCATATAACCTTTAATTCAGAACTTGCGAACTCCAAAGTCAGCCAGGATAAGAAACAACTTGCCACAGGATGTTATATTATGTCAAATCATTTCATTGTTTTTGAGTCTCGGTATTTTAATTATTCGTGCCATTGGCAAAATGCAGTAAAAAGTCAGTTTAGCTGCTATTTCAAGTTTTCCCCAACTTGGTGCCCTGTTGGACTACACTCCTATTTTCCAAAAAATACCTGCCGGAATGAGGGCTGTAGTTGCAGAAAGCCGTTTCGCCGGGCGAGAAAACCGCTGGTCAAGACTGTAGGTGCGTCACTGCAACAGAGAGCAAGCGCTGAACTAATTTTCTTCCCCTTTTTTGGGTAAATGGCCAGCACTTTCCCATAGCCCTATACCAGGGAAACAAGGAAAGAAAAACCCTCAAGAACATTAGCGCCTTAAGGTTAAGGCAACCCATCCCCTGTATGGCATATGGAACTTAGAGGCTCTACTGAGCCATAAACAACCAACCACGCTTCACCCTAGTAGGTTGCGGTCGGTCCCAAATCTGCTTGCTGACGCTTGGGGACCTACTGCGTTTCCGCCAGGAGAAATCACACATCACTCAAACACTCCGGGGAAACTTGGGGGTACTTACGGGAAACCCCCGAGTCAGAACCCCCCACGCATCCCCTGCCGGGGAGCACACGTGAAATTGCGGCAGCAGCAGGGAATCCTCCCTCTCGAGCTCCAGCGCTCCCTGATTCATCCGGCCGGGTCCGCCCGCACAGTTCGAAAGGCCCAATCAGCTGACGCGAGGCGGAGCCCAGGCCGGTGGGGCGGGGGGGGGAGGGAAGGGAAAGCGACCTTTCGGGTTGGGTGGATCCCCTGCGGCGTCCGGAGTGAAAGGTTGGGTGGCGGTGCTGGTGCTCAAGGAGGATTCAAACGGAAGGGGGATGCAGCGGTCATTGGACGGGGGGGGGGGGATCCTTCTGTCGTTAGTGTCAGGTGACAGTCACCGCGGATTATTGTCTGGCCCGAGTGTTGGTATCTCCTGAGCTGAGAAATAAGGCAGAGGACATGCGGCAAGAGAGGCAGCTCTTGCTAAGTTTTTGCCTATCTACAGCCTGCTTTGGACTCAGGGCGCGGGTGTTAGGGTTTAACCCTCCTCTGTATGTTTTAGGGGTTAAAACCTAAGAGGTTGCAACACCCAGCAGCCCTAACTAGAAAAGTCAGTGTGGAGGCAGAGAAATGGATCAGAGGCATAATCAGAGATTCCTTATCCTTCCGTATAAAGCATATTGCAACACAACGCTACAGAATTCAAACAACTAGTTTATGCCTGTGTTTGCCAGGCATAAACTGTAAGCCTTGGTTAACAAATGCACTGGATAGGCCACCGTGCAATACAATATTGTATGCTGTATCATGTATTGCTAGAATCATTGTGTTAAATTATTACACGGTGTTATCTCTTTGGCTTACTTTGGTTGTGAACTCAGTGTTGTGGTTTGTTAACGATGATTGATAGTTTAGTGTACTATATAGACAGACAGGCACAGCCTACTGTACTTATAACTCACTATTCTACATGGACAACGCTTTTGGACTTCTTTAGAAAGAGAGAATAAGTGGTTATTTTATATAGGTTTAGTTTTTTTATTTATTTTTATATTGTCTATTGTTTTTGTTTTAATTTAGAGTAAGGGGTTACTTTATTATAAGTTTGTACTGAAAAAAGTCAGAACTCATTTTTGTACTTTTTTCTTTTCTCTTGTCATTTTTAACTCCCCCCTTGTTCCCCTCCCGCTTTCTTTTAATCTTTTTTTGTTTTTGTTCATTTGTATTTTATCTTTTTTAAAAAACTTAAGGTTGCTTTAAAATAACTTTGTGGCCCAAACCAAATGATTCCTTGCCCTCTGCTCTGACAAAGCTAACCCACAACAGGATTTAATTTAGCATATAGTGGGAAAAAGTCATTGTAGTGTGTCTCAACCCTAGTCTGCAGGTTCTGTAAATCTGTACAGTTATGAGTTGGTTGAAAAGTATGGTTAAGCAACCAACAGTGTAGTAATGCATGTGGACTAGCTTGGCCACTGTTATGAAACAGAAAAAAAATATTTTTCATTTAAGAGGGGTCAGCACTGATGCTAACCATCCTGAGTACACACACTGTGTTATGTATGTATTGAGTTAATTTATCTAATAGGAGAAAACAGTGTATTCAACTTTTTCTTCTTCTTTTCTATCTAAAAATAACAGATTTAAATAATCAATTGGCATATTTGCGGTACCTCCTTTGATAGGCAACTAGATCTATATTTCCTTTAAGGCTATTTTTATATTCACAGAAAAACTGTCCTTCACCAGTCTATGAACACTGCCTTCGATAGTTATTCTTCTCCGGGGAAAATAGGAAATTCTGATTCTTTCAAATTATGCTCTCCCCGGTGCTCAGTAAGTCTTTGAGCCAATTCCCAGTTTGCAGAGCTGAATCAATGTGTCTCTTTGAGTGTGAAACTGTTTACCAAAGCAGGGAATGGAAGGTTGGCTGTCTTCTGATTCACAATACAAAATCTCTGTACCTGTCATCTGTTGTTCAGGCTACTTTTGAATATGGTTTTCTGGTCTTCTGAACTAATGCTGAACCCATATATATATAACAGGCAATGTAAGCAAAATAAAGATATTCAGAACAGTGCTCAGTCAGTGTCCAAAATTACCAGCCAATACTCAAACTTCTTCTGAATGCATTTGTGCAAAACTGGAACAAGATTTGAAAGATGGCTGACCTCACCTGTCTAATCATCCTCCCAGCCTTGCTCTATATCAGGGGTGTCAAACTCGCAACATCACGTAGCATGTTGCGATGTATCACGACTTTCCCCCCATTACCGGCAATGGGGTGGGCGCGGGTTTGGCATGACGCATCTGGCCTGCGGGCCGGCAGTTTGACACCCCTGCTCTACATTAAGGAGAATTATTGGTGCATAGTTTTCCTATGAGATGGTGATATTTGGAAAGAAGTGAGGGAGCCCATAAGTTTGTCTTTAATATAACTTGTATATAAGATCAGCAGCATTTGCCAACATTGTACCTACAGCAGGATAGATAGTGTGTTTTACGCAGATATAGTTTCCAATAGTTTAGGACTGATAGATAGCACTTCAGCTTGGCTATGATAAATATTTATCCATTTATCAATTGATAAATAGTGGTTTATAATGAACAAAGATGGAAATAAAGAGAAGAAATTGTAGTATATCACTTTAATTTCAAAAGAAATAACAGGAACTTGCTTCAGGCAAATAGAAATGTACTTTTGTTTCAAGGAATTTAAGAACCATGGCAAATATTCTATGTAAACAGACACAAATGTAAACTTCAATGAAAATGATTTACTATGAATTATTTTAAGTGCTTTAAGAGAATATTTACAATACAAAAACTCTGAATGAATACACTGATGTTATGGATTCAAGTCTATTGTCCCAGCTAACTTAGTTTAGGATCCAGTAAAGTCCAGGCTTATCACTGCACATCCCATATTTCACAAAGAAGAGGCGTGAATTTGTGATTGTCAACTCTCCATGACATCAACATATCTGCATGATGGTGGTTAAAAGTCCGTAATTCTGTAAGACGACCGAGGAGACAAGCAAAATGTTGAGGACTATCTGTGTGATGAAGCTTGCAGAATGTTTGCAGAACTTCAAGCAGAGGCTCTTGAAGCCGTTCAACAGAATCTCTATCCTTTATGTATTGCCGATCTGGTTTTAATTTTCAAGGAAGATGGGGAACAATAATAAGCATTATTTCATATATGTAAATTATGAAGACCAAAGTGTTCCAATTGCAAGTGAAATACATCATTTCTCTATTCATAAGCTATGTTGTTCCCATATATTTATTGTATGCAGAATTGCTTGTCTGTAAAAAGTTGCAGTGTTGATGGGATTAGTTTTACTTATTAGCTTGCTTGATACTACAGTATTGTTTATAGAGAAGGTTGCACTCCCTGATTCTGAGATAATAAAAATAATTCAAATTCCTATTTATCTCTCTTATGCAAAGATAGTAAAAACAACTCTGGAATACTTTGCCTGCAGTAGAGCTGGCCTCTCTCCCTTAGAAAGGCACTCAATTTTTTTATTCTCACAGGCCTTTGGCTCAAGTATTATATTAAACATTGCTTCATATTTTGTTCTTATTAGTGGTATTTTTTGTACTTTTGCTTCTTGCCCATAACCTTAGCAATGGTAGAAGTATACAAAATCAAAAATAAATGTGAGTGTGTGTTTTAATTGGTTTTGTTATATTCTTGCTTCAAAGAACGAGGTTACAATCTTATCTCTTTGAGATTTTAATTTAAAAACTATCCCATGCCTACAAAAATTAGAGAATTAAATATTTTTTCATTCAAATCCTATTTTTATTTTCTTGGTTTCTGCCTTTAAAGATGGGTCAGGTTGACCATTTCTAGAGACTGAGAAAAAACAGGCAGTCTTTGACTTATCTTATGACCACAATTGAGCCCAAAATTTTTGTTTTTAAGTAAGATAGTTGTTAATTGAGTTTTGTCCCATTGTATGACTTTCTTGTCACAGTTGTTGCCACAGTTGTTAAGTGAATTACTGCAGTTATTAAGATAGTAGCACAGATAATAATATTAATAATAATAATAATAATAATAATAATAATAATAATAATAATAATAATAATAATAATAAAGTTGGAAGGGACCTTGGAGGTCATCTAGTCCAACCCTCTGCTCATGCAGGAAACCCTATACCATTTCAGACAAATGGCTGTCCAGTCTCTTCTTAAAAACTTCCAGTGTTGGAGCATTCACCGCTTTTGGAGGCAGGTTGTTCCACTGGTTAATTGTTCTAACCAGCAGTGCAGCACACTGCTGGCTCATATTTAGGTGATTGTCCACTAGGACTCCGAGGTCCCTCTCACAGTTACTACTATTGAGCAAGGTACCCCCTATATACCTGTACATTTGGTTTTTCTTGCCTAAATGTAGAACCTTACTTTTTTCACCACTGAATTTCATTTTGTTAGATAGTGCCCAGTGTTCAAGTCTGTCCAGTGAATCTGGCTTCCCTATTGACTTTGCTGTCAGAAGGTCACAAAAGGAACACTGCAAGCAACATACAGTACTTAGCGATCATAGAAATCCTCTGGTAGGGAACGTATTAGGGGGGTACAGTGTTAGAAGAAGAAAAAGGATTTAGGTGTGTTCATAACAGATGACTGTAAAATGAGCAAACTGTGGTCATGCAGCTGTTTAGGCAAACAAAATTCTGGGATGCATCACTAGAGGGATCACCAGCAGGAAAAAGGAGGTCCTAATCCTACTGTGCAGGGCTTTGGTCTGACCCCATTTGGAATACTGTGTCCAGTTCTGGAGATATCACTTAAAAAAAGATATTAATAAGATTAAGTTCAGAGATGGGCAATAAAAATGGTGCAAGGTCTGAGAGACAAAACATATCAGGAGAGATTGGAGGAATTCAGTATGTACAGCCTGGAGGACAGAAAGGAAAGTGGGGGGGCATTACTGAAATATTTAAATATATTAAGGGTGGGAATAAAGTTCTAGAAGGCAGTATATTCAAAATCAAGAACATGGCATAACTTCAAACTGACAGGAGAGAAGTTCAAAAGTAATTTTGGAAATTATTACTTCACAGAAAAAGTAGTGGAAACTTGGAACCAACTTTACAGCAGAGTAGTGGGTCAGTCATCAGTAACTGAGTTTAAACATGCTTGTGATAAACATGCATCTGACAAAAATTAAAAATAAAAAAATAAAAATAAATTTAAAAAATTCAAGGGCAGATTCAATGGGCCACTAGGCCTTTTTTGTCATGAGTTTTATATGTTTCTGAATTTTGATCACCTAACTACAATGTGGTCATAAACGGTCATAAGTCACTTTTTTCAGTGCCGGTTTTGAATAGTCATTAAATGAATGTTTCTAAGTCAAGGACTACCTGTAACATAAATCCCACTAAACTCAGATTTCTTCTAGCTAGACCCCTATCATTTTATGCTGCTAGTGATCAGAATTATTGTTGCATCTTAACAGCTATGATACTAAATTTGTACTCGCTATTATGAATATGTGTTTGAAATATTTGGCCATAACTGTACTCCAGGGAAAAATAAATGCTTAGATACCTGCCTAGTATGGAGGGAAAGAGTTAAGTCTTCTACCTGCACTAGAATTCCAAATACCAACCCTGGAGGATGCGGTCTAATGTAATATGTAGTTTGTCTTGTCTTTTGAATGTAAAAAAAGTTATTTGAAACATTTAATTCAAAAATGTCTATGATTAAACAATTGTATCTCAACATTTGTAATCTTAAAACAGTGTAGAATTTTACAGGTTCCTTTCCAAAGCCTTCCTTCTAGTAGAATGCTAGAAAGAAATATTGTTCACAACAGTACACATTTGGACTACATTTGGTATGAGGAGAGAAACTGGTGAAAGGCTGAATTTAAAAATGGGTCAGATTTAGGCAGGGGGCTTCAAAAAGGGCCTGAGAGAGGTCCTTGAGAGGTCCTTGGAATACTGCTGAGTGCTCCATTCTAAGCCATCTTCATTGCATGAACAGAGGAGGAGAGAGCATTTGGACTATATTTCCCATGCCCATACATGCACATATGGAGTGTGGCAAAGTGCACACATAGGCAACAGATATGCACTCACTCTAGAAATATTTGGTCAATATACCTTAATAATAGTTACCATTTTTATATGAGAAATTAGCATTCTCTTTTTCATGCCTCTTTCCTTTTTTCTTCAAATTTGGTAACATAATTCAGTATTGACAGTCTAGAACAGGGTTTTTCAAACTGACGCACCCCAGGGTTCTGTGGTCTGAACAAATTTAAACAATTGAGAAAATGAAATTACCTGGTGATAAGATAACGATTGCTGTAAGCAGAGCATATTCTTCTTGTGTCATCTTGAGTTCCCCAATACTTTTATAAAAATGAAACATAGGCGTTATGTATTCATCTGAGATACCTATAAGACAATGTGGAAAAGCAGACTCTTATAATAGAATTATGTGGCAATCTATGGTAATTAAAATTCAGACAATTTAACACCCAAGTTATGCAAGAGCCTGAAAATCAACAAAGATAGAAATTACTGCATGAAAATCCTTTTACTTAAAAATAACCCTCCTTCTCTAATTCCATATCAGGTCTATTTCCCTTTGTTTTTATTTTTGTTTTTTATTGTTTCATTATAGGATGGCTGTATGCTATTTTATTCACAAGAGGGCACTATTTTCCTGTATAACATAAATTCTAGCACCAATTCTGCAAATCTCATAAATAAATATCAGTTTATAAATGCATTCTATATGCTTTCCTTCAACTGAACTCAAACTGTAAAATAGATCAATGCAGCAGATTATTAATATTATTTGCAGTCATCATTTTACTGTCAAGATTCTTCTATTAATCAGAAATGGGGAAACCACAGCCCTGTTGCAGAATTTTAGCTCCCAATATCTTTTGCCATCGGCCATGCTGATTAGGGTTACTGGAGTTTTAGGTCAACCACATATGGAAACTTCCTACTGTTGATCTGTTTGAAGAGTTGACTAGTACATGTTTAATTTGAATACAATTGAAATGGTTTATCACTAGTGACCTATACACAATAGGTTTTGTTTGTTGCAATATCTTAAATATATTTTGGGGAGCTGAATCTTGTTTTGTTTTGAAGTGTATACATAGACATCCCATTATTGCACTCCTTAATTTCCAAGAACCATACAGGTAGTAGAGAAACATTTCATATGAAATTCCCAGGAAACAATATGGGAAATTGAGCTCAAATCTAGATGTACAGGTTTAACTGAATGTTGAATCACTCTGCATATCTATGCATAGTATTTCCCTGCTCCATAACTATCTTAAATTCATTTCAATATGTGAAATTATAGGGAGGTTTTCATTTTATCTGTACAATAATGAATTGAAACAGTATAACAAAACAAACACAAAGCCTGAAATATTTTCCTCATTGGTTAAAAAAAAATCAGCAGTAGTCTATGAAAATTTCTTGAACTTTTGACCAAGATCAATTGTAGGTTTCGTATCTGAGAGGCATTTTTTAATGATACTTTAAATAACCATTCTATGCTCATAGAAATCAGCTCATAATATCCTGTAGGTATATTTCACTGATTGATTATGAGGAATAGCTGTTTATAGGTGTTTAGAAAATAATAAATAATAAAGTACTAAATAGACTGGAAATATTTCATGCTGGAGCAATTAGACAAGACAGATGTGAATGAACTTCAGATATCAGGGACCTTTGTGTCTCAGCAATAGCAATAGCTAACTTCAGAATGAAGGAGTTTCCATTTCTTAAGTAAATATTTAGCAATAGCACTTAGAATTATATACCGCTTCACAGTGCTTTACAGCCCTCTCTAAGTGGTTTTACAGAGTCAGCATATTGCCCCCAACAAACTGTGGTCCATTTGACCAGTCAAGCTGTGAGATGGGTAGGACATGAGGTCTAAAGGGCCTTCCAATCAAAGAAAGGGCACAGCTATCCCACAAAAGGAAGGCCTTTTGGACCACATCTGCAACATACTCTGAGAAGGAGTTGTGACGCTCCTGAATTTTGAGAACATGATTATAGGAGTGCTGCAACAGCGGTAACTTCAGGCACAGGTCCTAAATCCATTCAGAGTATTATAACTGAATAATTGCTGAAGAAATAGTCATAAGCTGAGGACTCAATATTCTTTCTATGTTTATTCTTTTCTTTTTAATCAATTTGATTTTATATTTCTTTATCAGATAAAACTTCCATCTAGAAGTGACTTGTGTTGTTCCATATGAGAAAATATTTACTATGAATTAAGTAAAATACAATTTCTGAAAACTTTCTGACATTATTTTAACAGCTTTACCCTTTAGGTGAATGGTAGATTCAATTGGTACTTGGTTATTGGTATAATTCAAAATTTATGTCCGTTTTCAGACAATTCTTTTTTGTACATCCTATTTTAATTTCCATTGTTCAGCAATAAGCATTCACTTTATGTATTTATTATAGCTAGATGTTTAAATTAAAAGAAGAAAAACAGCTTTCAGGAAGGTGGTTTGGAGCTAATTAATTATAACTACGACAGCTGTTAATATGGATGAAGAGATCTTTCGTCTGGATAGGCTTGAAGCTGCCAGTAGATATTAAATCAAAATGTAAATTAGCTCTTGTGTTACTGAGAAGTAAACACACATTAATTACTCATACTGTTTTACCTCATTCACCATATCTTATCTATTCAAAGTATTTTCTTAATTCCAAATCTTTCATTAGAGTCTTTAGTTTTTCTGAAAGCTTTCACTTATTGCATTACTCAAGAAACTGTCCATTGCTACCAATATCTGCCTATCTAGTATGTGATTCAAGAAAGTTCTTTCTGTTGGGAAAATAAAAAACACTGAGTAAGTGCCAGTATTTTCTGAACTGATTATTTTTCATCTAAGAGATTTTCTTTTTAAAAAAAAAAAATATTGCTAATTCACTCCTTGGGGTTTTCCACCTGGCTTCTAATTGCATTAGTTGTAGATATCCAGGTTTTTTCTGATCCAAATAATTAATCCTTTTTTAAAATGTTTTTATGACCTCTTTTGGCTTTTGGAATTTTATGGAATAGATTTTAGTAGTGCTGTTTGTGTATTGAAATCTTGCAATCTGCCTTGAAAGAGTTTGGAACTGTAAACCAGAACAAAATCCAATAAATACAATTCCACTGCCAAATTTTGGTTTTCAAACATGGTATTTGCTTTGGAAATGCATTGATTTGAAAAGCAAATGTACAAAGCTGCATTGGACATTCTTTGCAGCTAAAATGCATGACTATAAATGAGCATTCAGAATTATCAAAAAAAGTAATTTAAAATGCATTTACTAATGTTACATCTTCTTTTTGCCTATCCCCATAAGTTAGTTTGAGTTTAATGAACATTAATGGAAACTGATCAATAGCATGGACAATAATAGCATATGCTTCTGTCCATGAAATAAAGAGGAACTATTAGGTACTGAACAAAAGCAGGTGAGAGTATTGCTGCTAGATAGAAACATTTTTTAATTTAATATTTATGTAGAAGAAGTCAGGGCTATTTGCAAGGTAGTGTTCTATCTCACAAGCTATTTGGCCGTTAGTCTTACCGCAACCGCACCATGCATACAGTAGTGCCTTAACAGAAGGAAGCTACATCAGAAAAGTCACCACTAAGCTTCTTTGTCACATAGAGATCCAAAATGCACAACTGTCTAGATGAAGGGGATAACTGCTAACTGTTAAGGGAATTCAGAAGCCTGAATTGTGGCAGGTGACAAAAAAAATGAACATCTATTGGCATATTTATATTTTCAGTTTTTGTTGCTGTATTTCACTGATGTGAACAATAGGAGCTATCTGACAACTTGACGTTCACTTTCACATAAAAATAATCTCAACACGCCACAAAAATGATCCTCAAGATTTTGTTTTTCTGTCAGAAGAAGTTCATATTTGTTACACATTTTAAATACACCTAGTTATAGTGTGTAGTATGCATTCATTAGAATGTGCAACTACATATTAAAACCCCTCAACCCTTAGCTATAATTCTTAAAGAGAATTTCACAACCTGTCTTCAAAAAAAAAAATAAGAACAAGATATATAATACATTAACACAGAAAACAAATACTACTAAAATCATCTGATAGTAAAATGCCATATACTCTATTAATTCTTGGACATATATTTAATACAGGTAATCTCCGAGTTATGAGCGTTCACTTAATGCTCGTTCAAAGTTACATGATGAGTGCCCCCTAGTGTTTACGAGCAAGTCCCAAAGTTATGAATATTGCAGCACCACGGCAGTCATTCGCCATTACGTGCAACTGCAGTGGCTCTGCAACATTCACCCTGGTTATTCCCTCCCTCCCCACTCCCATCCCGGGTCTCCCTAGGCACCAGACCTTCAATACTCACCCTGCGAAGATCGAGATCCTTCGCTTTCTTGGCTGATCCAGGCCTTTGGTGTGTTTGCAGAGAATGGAGGCCTGAAGTAATGCAAGATCACACGAGATCAGTGGAGTGAGATTTCACACAACTGATCTCGTGTGATCTCATGGTACTTTAGACCTCTGTTCTCTGGGGGACGCTTTCACATGCCTCCGCAGGCTGGATCAGGGCTCCAGAGGTCTTTTCCAGGCCACTGCTGCCTGGATTTGAGGCTGAGAAACATTTCCGCACCTCCTCTGTGGTCTCATCCAGGCTCCAGAGACCTTTTCCAGGCCGTTGCTGCTCGGATTTGAGGTTGTGGAACACTTCCACATCCCCCCCCACTGCCCAATCTGGGCTCCAGAGGCATTTTCCAGGCCTGATAGGACCATGGGGGACTGCAGAAGTGTCTCCCAGCCTCAGATCCGGGTGACAGTGGCCTGGAAAAGATCTCTGGAGCCCGGATGGGGACACGGGAGGGCACGGAAGCATTCCCCGGCCTTAGATCTGGGCAGCAATGGCCTAGAAAAAGCCTCCGGAGCCTGGATTAAGCCATGGGGGGGAAACAGAAGCATTCCCCAGCCCCAAATCTGGGTGACAGTAGCCTGGAAAAGGCCTCCGGAGCCCAGATAGGGCCATAGAGGGGGTGCGGAAGCATTCCCCAGCCTCAAATCCGGGTGGCAGCAGGAACTGCAGCAGAGAGGAGATGGATCTTTTCCAGGTGAGTACAGCATGGCAGGAAGGGAGGGGGAAGCATGCAGTATCTTAGTGGGTTGAAGAGGCCTTGGGGACCCGCTTCATCATTAGGCCCTCCATGGCCTTCCCCACCCTGAGATACCTCATGTTCGCTTAACAAACCGCATGCGTTTTAACGAGCAAGAGAATAATCTTGTTTGAGGTACGAGAGTCACTCTATGAGTTTTCGAGTTACGAGTGTAATGGGCAGGCTCCATTACACTCGTAACTCGAGGACTATCTGTAGTAGAGTTGCTAACAGAGTAAAACAGTTTTATATCTTAGAGTCAGAAATACTAAGCAAAATAAAACTTGTTCCCATATAAATGGGTATAAATTTGCAACCTAACTCCTAGATGTTTATCTTATACACCCATTCATGCCTAGATCATCTTTGAAAAAAAAAACAGCAAGAATTTTCCCCTATTATCTCCGTCTGCAATTGTTCATTTTGGTTCTCAAATGTGTGACTTCCAAATATGAAATCCAGAGCATAGACAGTGGGTTCAAATGATAACAACTTAAGATGACCGAGATACTTATTTATATATACCATAACTGTATTTAAATGATAATGAAATCACATTGTGTACACAGAAAGATGCTATAAAAGTATTAGTAAAGGTAATCTTGTGAAACCAACTATATAGTGAGTATCATACACATCAGTTGTAACCAAATTTATTGTAGATGAACTAATATCAGTTTTTCCACTCAATCTATACAATACTTAGCAATTATAGAGCTTGTTTTGTCATTGCCATGCATTTGGATGGGTGAGATTATTTAACTGAACGTAATGAGATAGAAATGACATATCATTATCTGATTTTTCCCCACATCCCCATATTCCAAATATGGCTGATTATAATAGAACAAATTTATTTTCGGTATTTGTATTTTTATAATACATTATAATTTCTTGATAGCCTTGAACTCAAGGTTGATTCTTACTGAATGCTGAAAAGCTTGACATTCACAAAATTGCTGTGATTTTTTGCTCAACTTTTCAGGAATAGTAAGTCTCCTTTTGCTGTTAATGATACCTACCACTGTTGCGAATTCTTTCTTCTAAGAGATCAGCATGTCCTCTAGGAAGTTTCCTGTTAAAAATTTCAGCTGATCGAAGAAACATAGCTTCTACTGCTGAACCTTTTAGCAAAGCAATTTGATCTTCATGATCCAGGATTTGAAAACCTGAAATAAAATGTGAGAACATTAAGCTAGCAGCCAGAAAAATAGTTTTTAGGGTGACAAAGATACACTGTAGGATAACTAAAATAGATAAATCTCCTTTTTTGGCATAGAAAAGAAGCTATTTAATTATAAAGAAATATTTGAAGGGTGAATTTTGTTTCAGTTCCCAAGCCACCAAACAAGAATTCATCTAGGTTTTTTCACATGTACACATTCTCTTAATCTAATTTAAGATCACAAGATGATTACTCTCAGCCTAATTAGCATATTACAAATTAACTTCCTGTTTGTGGGTTAGAAGAGAGCTGATGTGTTATCATCTTTCAGTATTTAACTGGATACTTTCCAACTCTTTCATTCATTTCTTGTTCTTGCTTTTCCTTTGTTCTAATTAGCTTAAAAAAGAGAGACTATGTAAAAGAACTTTATATAATACTTCATAAAAAATAAGGTATGTAGTTGGAAGAATTTTTATTCATCAAATTTAGGGACTATCCATTTCAGTCTACGTTTTCAAATAAAGAACTCCACATTTACACCAATTTAAAGGTAAATTATTAACATTGGCAATATCTTAATCAGGTCTGCTTTCCAATTATGACAACTAAGATCTGTGTTCACTTTATAAAAGCACAGAGATAACTGGGTAAAGGTATTCTAGCCTATCTGCATTTATTTTTCCAGCTCCACACCAATTAGTCATAAACTGATTCAAAGATTTCTGGGTTAGCTGTGGTGGAGGTTTGGTCTATCAAGGTGAATGGAATACATCTCCACCAATCCCCAAGTAACCCTCCTTAGAGCCATGTTAATTTTTAGTGCCCTGAAAATATTATGAAGATATTATGAAGTCAAACAAACATTTAATTTATAATATCTGCCCTACTGAGGCTTGGTCTAACTAGAGTTAAATTGATATTTAAGCTAGATATCTGTAACCTGATACTGTCTGGCTTATTAGTAATTTAAAACAGCATAGCACTACTTTTACTGACCAATTTTTACAACATCTATTGCCAGTTGCTTTCATAGGTAAATTTTGCCTATTTTCTTTTTTAAATAGTTTTTTATTAAAAATTACCACTGCAACAATAAAAACTAACGTAAAAAAAAAAAAAAAAAAAATAGGAAGTACACTTTCTGGAAAATGAAAGAAGTATAAGAATATAATAAAAAAGAAATATAGGACTTCCCTCTTCATCAAAAGTATAAAAACAATTTTAATAACTTAGCACCTTTCCTTAAAATACAACAAATTCTTTCCATATCTCATCTCATATCTATAAATAAATCCTTAAAGCTATTTCATTTCAATCCAAATGTCAACAAAAGCCCACTAAGGGTTACCAGAGATAACAACATATTTATTTTAACTTTGATCAAATAAACTATCTTTATATTCTTTCTTTTTACTTCTAAATCTTGATCTTTAATCTTTTCAAATAATGTCCTAAAACTTGATTTATTTTCATTTTTTTATCCCTTTTCATAAAATTCTTAAATCAAGACTCCTTTATAAATCCAATATAGGAAAATTATCCAAGTAATTCTCTTGGTTTGTTATTTGCATATCCATTTTAATTTTTAGACTACCAGCCTTTTGTATGTCCAGTGCAATATCTTCTGCCATGTCGTTCTTGTAGCCTGTCATATTTAAATCCATTTTCATGTCAGTCTCACTATTGTCACATAAAATTTCCTCTTCCATAATATCTTTTAAAAACAATCTGTCTATAGAGGCAGATACTCTTAAAATTAACTTTTTATATTGTTTAAAATTATTTCAATAAATCCAGTGTTGAAATATTTTTTCATTCTGTATTTGTAAATCAAATTTAAATGTTCTTTTCAATTGTAATCTGTAGTTTCTTTTAGTTTCCTCTAGTGTCCAATTTTTAAAGTCTTATTTTTTAAGATGAATTCAAAACAAAGGCACTTTCCATAGGAAGGATTCTTATAATTAATTCCAAAATTTTATTTCAAATTTATCTGGACCATTTGTAACTTTCTAAAATCAAAGATGGCTGCTATTCCCTTGCCTCCCAAAGTATTATGTCCACTTGAGAACCCCATATTGTAATCTCACGTGGACCAACTGGATGGAGCATTTGTATGTAATTTCAGGACCTCTCTTTATCTGGAGAGGAGATATCAAAGATCTGGCCTACCTGCCGGCTCTTCATTCTAAAGCAGTTGTTGGCTCCACTTTTCACAGAGCCACTTTCAGATCACAATTTCTTCCCCAGAAACTCACATTTGCTTATTTTCTTCTAATGCGTTTAGATGACAAGACATCATAAGAAGAAAATGCACTGTTTTATATGATGGGAAGGAGAAACTGTGTGACCATTTTTTCCATTGCAAAATTAGTACCCACAGACTCTTTCTAATGAGAGGGCTGTAGGAAAATCTGTATATGTGTGGGAGATGACCAGGCTAAGCCCCAGGGAGGGGTCAAATGCATCATAACTCATGAGTCCCTTCGTGCCCACAAGAGATCTAAGTCCAGCCCACCTTGAATTGCTTTCTGTACTTAACTTTCCTTGACCGTTAGTAGCTCAGATTCTTGTAGAGGGCTTAAGCTTACAATAAACCTTTATACTCATTTGAACTACCTGAATCTCCTAGTTTTCCTGGCATTTGACCATATGCTGTCAAATTAACAATAAATCTGGTGGGGCTCAGTTAAGAATTTATGAATTTATAAAAGATCGCTGTAACTATATACAAGGAAAGAGTATAACAGACTTTTTTCTATCAATGAAAAACCTGGAATGACGATGCTGAAATTTATTATTTGATTATTTTAATAGGTAAGGGCCTAAAATGAAAACTCTTTACTCTAATTGCTCTAATATACTCTAATATAAGTTATTATATTACTTTCTGAAAAAATGGCTATGCAACAGATCTTATAGGTCAAAGGGTAAGGGCATGAATTACAGAGGGTAGAGACTGACACAATTGATTTCTATTTTCTAAAGAGATTGGTCAAAGGTGATTCTAAGAGGGAATGAATGTTCTGGAGTGAAAGAGATGCTAGTATCATCAATTATACACTATATGATATCCCTAATCTTTAAGCAGAAGCATTGAATTTAAGGTGGTTGTATTCCTGAAGTTTATGTCCCCCCTCAGTAGTTATAAATCTCTAAAACAACTTTCACCGGTTATTTAATTTTTAAATGTTATTAATATTATTGTTGTTGCCCTTTACTTTCTATTTTTTATTTTTAAAATATTTTATTAAGTGCCTTGAGTATTAATTAGATTAGGAGGATATAAAGGGATATAAAATAAAAAATCTCTCTGACTAAAAATCAAATTTGATGAATTTGACCAAACTTATTCAACATCTCATTACCTGGTAATCTTTTAGTGAACTCCACAAGCATTTTAACATGGCTAGTGGCCATTTCTGTTAAAACAAGAAAATTTTCTTCTGCACTGAAGTCCTCTTGTAACTGATAATCAAAACAAGATAATAATTAATTATAACTACTGCTAAAAATAGGAATCCTAGAAATGAATTATTATTTTTTCTTGAACAACTATCTCAAATGTATAGGATTACTTATTGAAAAACTGAACAATTATTAAAGTATGAAAGTTACAGAAAACTGATTATTTTAGACCACAATAAGAGAAAATGAAACAGATGAAGATAATATAGCAGTTTAAAAGTCTCATAATCTTATACACTGTAGATGAAAAATAGAGGATGTTGCACATTCAGCTTTTTGTACAACAAATAAAAACTTTCTGTACTGCTTGTTATGAGATCTGAATCCAAATTCTATGCCTTCACTTGGCTTGACTAGAACAAATATAAATAGTGGTACTTCAGCTAGACTGCAAAAATTCAGAGAATGCCCAAGTTAAGAGGTCTTTAAAAAACAACAACCCTTTGTCGCCACTTAATGGCCCACTGAGTTTTGTAGCCAACAGTAGTGTCAAAATAACCTCTAAAATCCCTACTGTTTATTGGCGTCATTTGCACACTACTTTAAGCCAAAAATATTGATCACTAAATCATTCTATGGGAGATAAAGCATGTATACTTACAAGCTTTTTGGTAACTTCAGGAGGAATCTGCTGTTTATTATAGGAATCCATTATATAACAAAGAAGATTTTGTTGTTCTGGGCTTAATTTTACTTTCTCCTATACTGGCAAAAAAATGAAACCATATCTGAGCATGATTTTCTACTTCATACGGAGGTTTAATTTCAATAATACAATGGAATCATTTACTTTTGCATTGTAGGTAGTCCTCAGGTTACTACACCAATTGGAACTGGAATTTCCATCATTAAATGATACAGTTGTAAAGTTCAACAGCACATGACTGCATTACTTAGCGATAGCAATCCCAGCAGTCTCCATTGCCATTGCAGCCCCAGGACCATGCAGTTTGTTAAATGAGAAGAGTTTGGAGTCCCATGCAAACAGTGTGGGCGGTGGGGGTGTTACATGATGATGCTGTGAGGTGTCTGTGTGCAATGGGGACAGTACTACAAGTGCAGGCAAGTAGGCAGAGGCTACAGATGGTTGATGGGTTGGCTGAGGCTGTGGCAGACACTACAAAATCTAGATCAGCGGTTCTCAACCTATGGGTTGCGACCCCATTTGGGGTCGATTGACCATTTCACGGGGGTCGCCAAGCAAGGCTGTCCGCCATTTTTTTCCCCTTTTCCGGCGGGTGCCTTACCTCCCTTGAGCTGGGCCAGCTGGTGGTCAGCCTGCTCCGTCTCTGCTGCTTACCAGCTACGCCTCGGCCAGCGCAGGGGGCGGAACCACGCATGTGCGGCGCTCCCGGACAGGGAAAGTCCTCGACTTACGACCGGTTTAGTCCTCGACTTACGACCGGTTTAGTCCTCGACTTACGACTGGTTGGGGTCGCGGCATTAAAAAGGTTGAGAACCACTGATCTAGATGAACTGGTAGAGGCTATGGGAAAATGCTATGGAGGGTGGACCTGGTGGAGTGGTGCTACTGAGTATGAGATCCCTGAGATTTTATACTCCATAATAGGGCATTTGGGGAGAAAAAGTGGCAAAAGCAACTGATGGGAGCGACGTGCAACCTTCCCTGTTACCTTCTCCATTGCCTTTGCTTGTGGGAAGCCAGCAGGGAAAGTTGAAAATGATGATCAGGTTACTTCAGAATGCTGCAGTCACCATAAGTGTGAGTGGGTTGCCAAGTGCCCTGATTGTAATCATGTGATCTTTGAAGACTAGTCATAAGTACCACACATTCAGTACACTCATAAGTTTGAATGATCGCTAAACAAGTGGTCATAGCTTGAGGACTACCTATATATATGCAAAATAAAATAAATACATCTTTTCCATAATGACTTAGACATAAATATATTTTGCAAGGGATTCAAGACTATATCAAGCTAGTAATAACAGTAATACATTAATTAATTAATGTCATTAATCTGTATCAGAATACAAAAGACAGAACAGAACAGTAGTAAGATTATATGGATACAAACTATGTGCATATGATGAGAGCACCCTATTACAACCAAGATTAAAACTTGTCAGAACTGTAATATTAAGTATTTATTCATTCGTTTGTTTGTTGTTTATTATGCCTTAGAGTCCTGGTGATTGCCTGGACTAGGCTTTGCAATTTTTGTGGCAAGATTTCAGGAGTGGTTTGCCATTGCTTGCTTTCTGAGACTGAAAGAGAATGACTGGCTCAAGATCACCCAGCTTATTTTGTGCCTAAGTCAGAATTAGAATTCATGCTCTCCCAATTTCTAGGCGGGCAGCTTAATCCCTACACCGAATTAGCCATGTCTGTTATTGCATCAATAAGATCAGTGGTTTTCAACCTCTTCTTCACTACTGACCCTCTTAAATACCTTTTGTGGCGATAGACCATGGCCATGGACCCCTAAGACTTAATTCAAGATTTAAATCGTAACATTTCTTCAAGCCCCCTGTGATGACATTGCAGCCACCAGGGCTCCCAGGTTGAGAACCGCTGCTCTAGATGGTTCACATACCACTCTAAGCCATGGTTTGTTTAATCATGGCTTACTGAATAAATCATAATTGATTTAGGCTAGCTTCAATAGGCTAGCTTCATACCATGACCAAGGTTAGAACTAAATAAACAATATTTTGCCAAATTCAGGGATGATCACCACACTGATACCGATTATATCATAGTATAAACTGATATACTCTCAAGGCCATCAATGATACTTTTGCACATAAAGAATATTAAATTATAATTTTACAGTTATATGGTTTATTCCAGCAAACAGAAGACTTATTTATTTGCATTATTAAAAGCTCACTTTTCTATAAGGCAGTGATGGCGAACCTTTTAGAGACCAAGTGCCCAAACTGCAACCCAAAACCCACTTATGCATCGTCGGGTGCCGGGTGGGTGTGGCCCATTGGGTGGGCGCGTGGCTGCCGTGGTAACGGCAGACTGGGTGGGACTAAAAAGTTCAATCAATCAATTCCAACTTTGCAAGATCTTTTTTTTTCCCGTGAGAAGTTGAAATTGACTGATTGATTGAACCTTTTTTTTTTGCACACGGTGGCGGAGGCCTAAAGCGAAAATGTTTTATAAAACCCAGCTGAAGGCCTAGGACTGGGGCAATGGCGCGCGTGCCCACAGAGAGGGCTCTGAGTGCCACCTCTGGCACCTGTGCCATAGGTTCGCCACCACTGCTATAAGGTAATAGAAATTTGCTTGTCAGAATTCTCATTCAGTCTGCCATACTTACTAGATGTATCAAACTATAGAGTTATGAGATGCTACAGTAATTTTATTACCTTATAGAATTTAGTTGTAGATGACACTTCCTTCAGGTCAGGTTTCTCGGGATCTTCACTAATAGTCTCGTCTGGGTGCTGTGATGTATTTTTTCTTAGTCGTTTTGACTTGCATTGGATTTCAGTTAACAAACCTGAAAATGAGAAAATCAATACTTATAATTTGTACAACTGACACTTATCCATGGTGGTAATCCCAAAAGTAACAAATAAAGGCTCATGTTTAATTACAATCTCCACTTTTTAAAAAAAATTAATTCACATGTTCAGGTAAACTTGTTCAGGAGTGGATGCAACTACATCCATTCCTAGACAAAGTTACTTTGGCAACTAGGATCATATGTCCCCAAATGCTGCTGGATGCTTCTTATCACTCTGAGGGAAAACAGGAGGAGAAAGCTTTTGCTAAGTTAATCATCTTCTTGCCTGGTAAAAGTCTCTTCCTGGATGGACCAGTTCTGTGAGGCTGTAGAGAGAAAGACAAATTTGCTTCCCCAGAAGTATTTTTTCCATGATAGACAGACACAGTTTGAAATAGCTGGGTGGAAATCAAGAATTAATTCTACATATTATATACATTCTCAGAAAAAAAAATGAGGAGATATTCACTTATTGACATTATTTCAGCATTTAATAATAATAATAATTTCATTATGTCTATTAATACCTGAAATGTGGTGGTGGAAATAAATTTGTAAAGTTATTGCCAAGGCTGGATCTATGTAATTCCTCCCTCCCATCTATCACAATTGTTCAAAGTAATATAGCCAACTTCAGTGAACATATTTCTCTACTCAGAATATTAAAAATTCAATCTTACTATATCAGTTTAAGAAGATAAAATATTGTTGTCCAAGAATAGGTAAATGATGGTGCAGGGCTATAACAATCATAACAAATGGAATACTTTTGTGTGTGTATACATATACAATTTTGTTTCACCTGGGAGAATGAAGAAAAGAGGCTAAATATTGTTGAGGAAGATATCTACAAAAATGCTTAATTCAGCAATGAACAGTTTTAATATCCTGTATATTATAAAATCATGCACCACAGAAATCAAACTTCCTTTATTACAGAAAGAAGAGGAAATTTAAGGGATTAAAATAACAATTCCACATAATATCTCAAAAGATTAAAATGGCATTTATAATCACAACATAGGCACTAGGCTTAGTGCTGACTTTGATAGTTTCAGCATGGAGCCCTTAGCAAACTGGCATTCTCCAGATGTGTTTAATGTAAATCACATTATGAATACTATCAAAGGGTGACAGTTGCTTCATACACTAGAGAAAAAAGACATTTCCGTATATCCATGAATCAGAAAACACATGGTATACATAAACCAGGGCCAGCTAGCTTATTTAATGTATTCAGATGGATATCTCTTGTTCTAAATAACAGTACCGTTATCTTCAGACCAGCAAATATCTGACAAATGGTTTTATTGTATTAATTTTTTTCCAGTTTTTACTGTATTGTTTTGTTTTATTGTATTATAAGAACAGCCATACATCCTTCTAAGCTATTTAATAAAATCTCAGAATTATTTCCAATGAGAAGCTTGCCTTTCCAACAAAGTGTGAACCAGATTTGAGTGAGGATTACTTTCTACGTTTTGAGTTAGAAACGTATCTCTAATTGCACAAAAACATGATGTGTAATCACTACATCATGATAATTCAGGAATGCACAAATAAAGTAATAAAAACTATAAGATTGCCCTCTATTTTTGCAGTATAGCAACATTTTACAGGAATAATTGCAGTATTGTCTTATGAGTAAAGGCTCAAAGTCCAAGGTAATGTTAATTTCAGAGAGATCATTTTGCTTAAAGTCAATTTACAAAAAAGTTACAAGTTTAACTATCCGGCAAACCTTGAAGGTTGTTTTTAAATTAAAAATGAACAGTACCACTCCTTATTTGAAGGTAGTTACAACTTGCATGATGTCCTCATTCCTGTACTTTACAAGAATCTGCTTATGTTTAAATTATAAGTTATATGACTCTCATAGTAACAAAGTACAAGTTTCCATTTCAGAGGGACATTTAAGTCACAGTGCCTTATTATTGGCCTTTGCTTCACTCAAGACTATCTGAGAAAATGGCCTGCTGGTTTGAAAGTTTCCATTTCCTTGGACAGCATTAGTTACATTGCCCTATTTTTTTATGATTATTTTATTATCAGATACTAAATTACTCACAGTACTGAAGATACATTTACTGGTAATCCTGAAGATAAACACATTTCCCCTTTCTCTGGGAACAACCTGACTTTATTTTTAAGAAAGTTTATTTTTACTGCAGGCTTACAGATTCTTTAAGGGGTCTGACCATCATGGCAGCCTCATTTGTTTGCCTGCTTGTGCACTGAGGGCAGAGAGAGCATATAGCAAGATCTTTGCTTTTAAATTGACAGCATAAGGGGGTTAATTATACTATAATTTTTTCATTAATTCTGAAATGCTAATAAAGTCTATTGTTTTCTACAAAGCATAAGAGTTGATATAGCATCTTATGATCAGATTGGAGAGGTATATTAAGAATTCAGAATAGATTAATTTCCGGTATGAGCTTAAACTAGTTTGATACTGAAATTATGCTAAAATAACTGAAGCTATTAATAGGAAACACCAAACAGCTTGAATCCTGTACTTGTATATTTACAAAACACAACACATGCCAAGAAAGTAAATTTTAATAAAATACTATGATAAGTCTAATATTAGTTAAGTACAATACAACAGTGAATCTGATCTTCACTTTTTTCCTAAATGGGTGAATTCAAAGACCATATTATCTTTTCCTAACTATCCATAGCCCCTATATTATAAAAACAAACTACAATTAATTTGCAGTTAAAATGAAATCAGTGAAAATAGCTGTATACATACATTCTGCCAGCATTCCAACTGCCTTGCACTTTTGTAGACGGCACTTCTGACACTTTCTCCTCATATACATGTCCATCTCACAGTTTCCTCCATTTTTACACTTGTATTCAGCATTTTTAGTGATACTCCTTCTGAAGAAACCTGATGATATATGCAGAATAATATTTCAGATTACTATATGAATACCACTAACTTAATTATTATTTTTTTATTTAATTTAATTTAATTTAAGATGCTTTTAATTAGAAAAATGTGTTTTATAGATCACAGTAAAAGTTTTATCTAGGCTGAATTTCTAATTTGAGTATAATCAGTTAGTTCTCAAATGCTGCATATTCTGTTATCCTCTAAGTGGGTTCATATGTCATGCTGAATTATAGTCAAGTTGACATATTTTGTTAACCCATAAGCCATCATTCACCAACCACATAGGCTGGAGTACATACAGTAGACTGCACCAAAGTCATGGAACTTTATCATGCTATTTGAACCAGCTTGGCTTACATATTGTACTGCATTGCAATGTAATTTGTTGGTCTTAGCTTAACTCCTCATCTTTGGTACATAGTTTCAAATATGTAGTCCTGTCTGATTGTGGCTAAAAACTAAAAAAAATCTGGTTGCCTTTTGAAAAAAAAGCACTTTTGAACAACCATGAACTGGATGATTGAGAGTCTCCATAGACAAACCCCAACTAAGCAGTAAATTAATGCACATGCATGTTCACTAAATAAGGTTTATAGTTGAATCTATCATGCAAAGGCAACCAGAAATTATCTCTATTCATTACTTAATATCCTGGTAGTTTAGATTTATTTTATCTTAACAAATTGGTTATTATCAGATCAATCTGCTGTTACTTCTTTGATTACAGCTAACTATTATTTTACAGTATGCTGTAGTTTCTTTTCTAATCTTTTTTAGGTATTTTAGAACTTTTTTCCCTTTTTACTCTAATTAATAGAGATTTTCTTTTTTTTAATTTGCTGATCTGTGACTGAATAAAAATTGATTAAATGATTGACTGATTGCAAAGGCATCTTTTCAGTTTGAGCAGCTTTTTGAAAACTCGATTTCCTTAAGTATGATATTTTATACCATATAGGCTTTTAAATCTACAAAGATATCTTCTGGAGAAATGTATTTTTTTCAATTTAGAATAGAAAGTTGCTACTCTGATTTGTTATAGAGTGCTGTTTCTAACAATGTCCCTATATATATGCATAGAACAATGTGACACATGGAGCACACATCTCTCAATCTTTCACTTGTTTGAACAATGGAGTAGATAGCTGTACCAGGTTATTGCATAATATTAAATACAAAAGCTATTCCAGGTAAGAAAATTTTCTAGTCCTAGCAAGATAAATGCACTGAAAATCCTTCTAGTGAAAGAAATTTTAAGATTTGTGCCCTCGTGACTTGATAATGAAGCAAACTTGCTTCTGAAGCTTTTGCTAAATAGTGAATGATCTTGTCATATCGTTCCATCAGTTGACTTATCTGTAATCACAAAATCTTATTATAGTAATACTACTGACAGACTTTTATCTAAACAGTATTTCTCAACCTTGGCAACTTTAAGGTATGTAGATATCAATTCCCAGAATTCTGAGAGAATTGGTGGTCAGGGAATCCTGGAGTTTGAAGTATATATATCTTAAAGGTGCCATGGTTGAGAAGATCTGGACAATGGCTCTATCTCTGGTTAAGTAGATGAATTCTATATAAATAGTTTGTTCTATTTTTAAACATGTGTCCTACCTTTGCAGCCTTCACATGTCAGGGCATTATAATGGTACCCAGAGGCCTTGTCACCACAGACAACACACAGCTCCTTATCTTTTGTTCTTCCAGAGAGTAGACCCATCCGAGACTTCTTGACTACAGGAATATCTACCAGATCTGTCTCCTTGGTTTGTAAGTGATTAGAAGGCATTTTTCCAAGTTCATACATTACAGGGGAGTGCCATTCTTCAGATTGTTGAGGATAAAGATTAAAACTTGAATAATAAGATGGTAAAGAGATTGGAGGCTGCATTGGGCAAAAATGCATAGTGTTGTACTGTGAGTAGGATGACACATCAGTATCTTTCGCTGCAGAAATCATTGGATCCGGATGTATACCTCAATAATAACAGAAGATATATTTCTAAATTAATATTCCAGGAACAGTTATTTTCACCAAAAATAATCATTGCCATTTTTTCTTCTTGTACATCCTTGCAGTGTATATTAATGTTCAATCATCCTGAGCTGAGCATGCTAAATGTGCATGGATGGATCTAATTATAGTAAGACCTTGGATTAATGGATTTGTGATATGTAATGGATGCATACTTCGTTCAGACAGCCCTTGATTTTACAGATTAAATAAGAGTGTTGCACTTTATATTGAGTGTTTACTGAATAGGCAAGAGTTATGTCAATTATATGATTATATAGATTATGCATATTGATGAAAATGACAGATATGAATTTAATAACATTTGGCATTAGTAGATATCCTCTTTCTTCAGTGGTCAATTAAACTGAGATTCTACAGCAGGGATCCCCAACCCCGGTCCGTGGACTGGCACCGGGCTGCGGCATTCCAGAAACTGGGCCACGTAAACAAGTGAAGCCCCATCCGTGGGATGCAGGCAGCACATGAAATCACGCCCCCTCTGGTCCATGGAAAAACCTCTCTCCATGGAACTGTCTCTGATGCCAAAAGGTTGGGGGCCACTATTCTACAGTGATCAATCTACAACATACATTTTAAAAAATAAATGTGTTTTCTTTTTCTCATTAACTCTGCTGGATCCCCTTGACATGCTAATTCTTTTTAGATTTGGTTGGGTGTATATATAAACTGTATTCAGGAAGAAGATATGTATGCCAGATGAGGGGACTACAGTTACATGCCAATTAGCGATGGACTGTAGGACTGTGGTAGGGGCTGCGGAAAAACTTCTATACCGCATATGAAACTTTTCCCCACGATACAGAGGTCTTGTTTTCCAGGCACTGTTTAAAGTAGAAGAGAAAGATACAGTGGTGATTGCTCTCTTGTCTCCTCCCCTCCCTAGGTGGGAGACTACTCAGCTTTCCAAAGAAAAGCCTCTCTCTTTCCTTGTCAGTTCCCACTCTACCCCAAAGATATTTACATAGTGGAATAAAAAGGTTGTGTGTCCATCTAGCTCTTGATTCTAAATATTGAATTGCCAGTTGCTAAAACTGCATGAATATATTTGCTGACAAAACCACATATAAATATTGTTAGACTCCAATGTGGTTGATTTGTATTGTGTGAACAGAGTCAATGAGTTTGAATTTATGATTAAATGTTTCTAGTGAAAGTGCAAAAACAGTTGCTGTATTCATTTCTCAGTATAAACATTTATAGGAACTATTTTAAAAGTACAGTGCTGAAAATCTGAAATTACTACTTTTTTTACAGTTGTTATTTTTCTTTTCAATGAAGGCTGCAATTTGATTCAACTAATAAAACATTTTGTTTTTACTAAATAATTAATGTTTTTAGTTCTCTCTCTGTCTTTCTTGAATTTATCTGATACTTTAAAAAGCTATTGAAACTAGTAGCTTTGCTAAGTAAAAAAATTCAATAGTTAATTATAAATGTTACATAGTGGCATTACAAGGATTAACATGTGCAAATTCCTGCAACATGAAAGCAGATGATTTCTGATCTGATCTTGGTAGTCTTTTCCTCTGTTTTTCGTTTCCAAGATATTCTCACAAACTAACCCAGCCATATTTTAGGATAGAATGAAGACCAAATCTGTATTTAAATTATAATTAGTGTGTCATACAAACATTGGGTTATTTAAATAAACTATGGTCAAATGAATGAGTAAATCTGTTCTGAAAACACAATAAATAAATGATACAATAATTGTTTTTACAATTATCTTAAATTATTTTTCTTTTCTGCTATACAGATAGGAGTTTTCAGCAGAGTAGGACTGAAGGAATATGAGGCTGGTATTTGTAAGGATGGATGTATATTATATCAATTTTAGTTTGGGGGACAAAAACAACATATTTAAATTTTTAAGTCTTTGCGTACACAAAGAACACCTTTTTAAACATAAGCCATGGACTACAAAAGAAAGATTGACTGATTTCTAAAGAACCATTAAATGCTACTGGTACATTAATTCATTAAAGGAAAATTAGGTAACAAACTCTAGTTTCCCCCAGTTAGTAAATGAGCTTGGTTGTCCTTTTAAAATCAAATAAACATTGCAATAATTATAGTAGTATTAATCACAATATGGAAGCGCAATGGCTCAGTGGTTAAAGATGCTGAACTTGTCAGCTGGAAAGTTGACAGCCCAGGTTCAAGACCTGAGTGCTGTGCAACAGGGTGAGCTCCCATTACTTGCCCCGGTTCCTGCCCACTTAAGCAGTTCAAAAGCATGCAAATGCTAGTAGATAAATAGGTACCACTTAGGTGGGAAGGAACAGCATTCTGGATGCCTTGGCATATACAGTAGTCATGCTGGCCACATGACCATGGAGGTCTCTTCACTGACTCCCTTGCTAAGAAACGGAGATGAGCACCACCCCCTAGAGTCAGACACAACTGGACAGAGGAAACCTGTTCCTTATTAATCACAATATTATTCACAATTGTAATGTTATATTATCAATTCTTATTTTACAGAAGTTAATATACATAAGTCTTAATATTATACTTCAATTTCTCAAACCAAGTAGTCTATATGTTATAGAGTATTTTCAACTTACCTATGCTGATTGGGGCAAGATGACAGCTGTAGTCTAATACATCTGGAGGACACCAGGAAGGAGAAGATTGGTCTACCACAAATCAAGAACAAGAGGAACCAAAATTACCATATAAGAAATTATTATGTAGAGTAAGAAAATGCTCACTAGATAGTTCCAAGCTGAATTAGTTATACATATAAAAAGAAATAATAGTATTTGGATGTCTTAGGTCATAAATATCAATGTCTAGGCATGGTTTCATTATAACTACTAAAATAATCTTATCTAGTATTAATAATAATAAATGAGTAAATTGGAATGATATCTTACCTTTTAAGAGCAAACCAATTTGACAATTTAAGTAGAGTTTCTGAAAATTTTGTAATATAGTTTCTCTTCTGCTTCCTTAACTTCCAAAACCCTAATCACAAATGATACATAAAACTTCCTCTGAGACCAGCCAAGGAAACAGTAGGGCAGAGGTTACACGGTTTACTGATTAACTTTATTATGAGAAATAAGTTGAGAAAGTAGCTATGACAAATGTCCAGCCCAATTTGGTGAAATTTAGAAAATTTTTATCTCAGAAGAAGCATTCATAACTGTACGGTTGCCTCCTGTATTATTTCTTATGGATCAGCATATTTTATAATGAAGTATAAAAATACTGCTTGATAAAATAAGCCAATCAACCAATATATTATAATTCACAATGGTAAATCTATATAAAAACCTATTCTAGCCCTGAGGCAAGGAAACTGCTGTGGGAAATCAAGATGCCTCATGTAACAGTCAGCAAGTCAGTATGACAGTTTTGTAAATAGGTCGACTGTTTGATATCAAATTATGTTTTCCTCTTGGATTTGCCAGAGATGTTTCTAGAGAAGGACTGCTCTTTGCCTCATGGGGAAACACATGTTATTCTTCCCCCTCTCCCCAAGATAAGAGATGTATTTGGAAAATCATCTCTGTGTTAAAAATATAAATAACTTGATTCAAGCATGTTTATAAGCAAGAGAATTTTGGAGTGGGTTGGGGTTTTTTCATCATGTCTCAAGTTGGCCAAATGCTTTATGCTGTTGCTGGCCATCAGTATGTTCCTACTGCCAATCAGCTTTTTGTGCAGTGCAGTCCTGCCACCAGCTGTGCTCCTCTCATCTCATTGGCTAATGGTTTTGAATACAAGTTGAGTGATCTGCTGCCATGTGGGAATATAACATGTTAGCTGTCTGCCACTGACAAAAGGTGAGAAAAAAAATTAACTCCTACCAAAAAGCATCAGCATTCAGAAAAACATGGTGAGGAATACTGAGGAGTTACGGATCACCATGGCAAAAATATCCATAAGATTATTACATTTATTATATATCTTATTTATTGTACACATATATCCCAATAATGCTAACAATGTAATATATGAAAGAAATATATACTATTGAACCATTTTACTGTTCATTATATAAAAATACCAATTGTATACTTAAAGCAGTATATATAGAAACAGGTTGTATTTTATACACTGTCTCAGAAAATCTTTTCTATTCTAAAACCTGATGTCACCTGCTCATTGCTTGCAAAACCCATCTATTCTTATCTTTTGGCGAAGTTGATGGGATGCCCTTATATGCTGACAGCTGAAAACAGAGAAGCGGTGACAGATAGACTAAAGAAAGTATTATGAGGAAAATGGAAAGATAAGCAGATGAGGGGAAGAGGCATAGAGCAGAAATAATACAGACATTCAAAGAATGCAGAAGAATTGCAAAGAAAAAATGGTTAACACCTCCTCCCATCTACTCCATCTCAAGACTTCAGTCCAGATCACCACATTCTTTCACCTATAAGTATATTTTCAAACAAAACAAACAAAATAAAAACAAACCTACAGAAGAGTTTATGAATTTCTCACACGATAAATAGTTTGACTAAATGTAAATGTTGCTGAATGATGGGGAAAGAAAGACATTTGGACAGAGTCAAGAAATAGAATTGGTTGACCACAGAATTGATAAAAGAGAATACTTGTGGCTCAGGGTTAAACTCAGGGTTAAACACCAGTGGAGTCTTGGTGCTCTCTGAGCTTGGTGGTTTTCCTGCAGATGTTTTATTGCCAAACTAGGTAACATTAACAAAATGTCTGCAAAAAACCCACCAAACTCAAAGAGCACCAAGAACCACAGAATGGTTGAACAGCTGGGGAGTCTGAATTCTTGAATGTTCAGTTATTAGACATGCTTATTTGAGCTAATGTAACCTTTTTTACATTGAGCAAAGCACTATCAACATTTATCTCCCTACTGCCTGCGCTGACTGATACTTGCTATCCAGGATTTCAGACAGGAACTTTATAGTGAAGGACACAAGCTGGGATCTTTTTCTTCACAGCATATGTGTTCTCCTGCTGCATTAATAGTGTGCTTTACCACTGAATCACCTTATTTTATTTAATTATTTACTGTGTTATTATTCATTCATTTTATAGCATCACTAAAAACTAATTGAGGACATTTCAAAAAATAGTCAATTGTTTAAAATGATAGAGAACTACATTCATTCATTCATTCGTTTGTTTGTTTATTTATTTACCACCTTTATTATTTTTTACAAATAACTCAAGGTAGCGAATATATCCAACACACCTTCCTCCTCCTCCTATTTTCCTCACAACAACAAACCTGGGTGGTAGATTGGGCTGAGAGAGAGTGACAGGCCCAAGGGCACCCAGTCGGCTTTCATGGCTAAGGTGGGACTAGACTGACTGTCTCCCGCTTTCTAGCCTGGTGCTTTAACCACTGTTTAGCTTTCTTTCAACATTATAAATATTGTATTATTAATGTAAGTTCTGATTTACCAAATAAATTAGGACCTTCAGAAAGAGAAAATCCATCTGCTGACGATAGCTGGGAATGGTTGATCAAGTTCATCTCCAATGCCATAGAATCTTTAATGTAAGATTTGCAAACAGTGATGAAACCTAACAAAAAATAATATTATTAGTAAAAAAATACAAAATATTGGGACTTGCTGATCAAAGTTGACTGCTTATGGAAAAAGAAATCCAATGTTATAACAATTGTGACTGGAGCCCTTGGAGCAATAGTTAAAGCATATCTAGACATATTACATTTATCAGATGTTAATTTTACCACCCCAAAAAAGCCGCCCTGCTTGGAACTGCCTTATATTCTTTGAGTCTGTCTTAATAATTCTTAGATCCTTGATTAAGACTTAATAGCAAATAAAAACAAGCCTTACATTCTTCCATGTGGATCATCCCCAGTATGTAATACTATAATGTGATCGTTTTCATGCTAAAAGTTTTCCCATTTTTAAAATGGATACACTTGCCTAAACTCATACTGGAAAGCACTTCTGTCAGATATTCATAAAGTCTTTTCTCCATCCACACTCCATATGCCATTATCCATGAAGGCATTCTCAATTACTGCTGTTGTGGGCTGTGTTGAAAGCTGTTTGACTATGATAACCAAAAATTAGGAATTTGGTAGCACTTTTTCTGACACATTTTATTTAAAAATAATAACCTTTCAGGAGCTGTTGCTTACTTCATCAGATGCTTAGTCAATACTGGTATAACATGCTTAAAAGAGATTCATATTTTGGTGGAAGTATTTGACACTTTGAACAAACTCATGTATTCGTTGCATTTATTAGCCTTCATCTATAGGCTACTGTATTTAAGGTGTACCACAGTTAAACATCAATGTACTAGAAAATATAAAGTTACTGGAACTGTTCTTATAATATTTATCTGACATTTCCAGCATCATGTATATTAACTAATATTATATTATTATGTTCTATGTATTATAGAGAGCAATTCAACCATATTTATACATTTTGATCATGTGAGCTATCTTTATCTACAATGGTAAAGGCAGGGTAAACAATAAATTAGCAAATATTCTGAAAATAATTCCAAGATATATATTTATTGATTCTTGATCAAGTAAATTCTATGAATATTTACTTGAGAGCCTAATAAATTCAACTGGTCATTTCTACATAAGCATAATATTTCACTAGACATTAGTACTGCCATATTCAAGGCTTTTTCAGTCTTGCATCTCTAGCTGTATATGAACTACAATTCCAATCCCTTTGCAATCTTGGAAAAAAATCTGGGAGATGTAAACCTCACAAATCTGAAGACACATGATTTATAACATACCACTTTGGCCATGTACAGCTATTTTATATTAAAATTATCAAATTAAAATTTACAATTGTATTATTACACAATTGTTTTTAATACTGTTTACATAAGAGAATCTAACTTTCTTTGCACAACTCTGTGCAAGCTTTCTATTACCTTCCATGTATGAATCTTTATGGTTTTTGACTAGGAAGTGATGCCAAATTCTTATTAATTGAGTTTGCATTCTGGTTTGTTTCACCACTATTAATCGAATTAATCTCACATGACTGGCTCCACAAATTATGCCAAACCAAAGCCAAATAAACTATATTATGGCTTAGTATAATGTGTGAATCAAATCCATATATTTCAGCTTTGTTACTGAAATTTATCGAAATGTCAGTCAATATTGTTAGAGTATGCAATCAAATTAATTCATATTTTTATCTTTGGATAGAAATAGTCAACAATGTAACCATTGCATTAAAACATTTATTAGATAAGGTAATAGGTGTCTACCGTACTTAAGGTGACTCACTGTCTTAGATGTACTGAGCATTACAATCATTGGCTTCATTTGTGTTCTGATATTTTATTGCAGCCTCTATATATGGTGTTGTGCTGTTGCCCATATTTTTAATTTTATTTTAAGGTAAGATAAACCTCATGAGAAACTAGTGAATAAAAGAATGACACTCTTTTGGAGTATTTTTACATCCAATTAAATGTGCCCCTTTATCAACCAAAGTAATCGTACTGCCAGGTTCAGGGCTATGTGATAATTATCAGATCAATGCCGGCCAAGAGATTCTATGAAAAACATTTATACTAAGAAAGTAATGTAAATACATAAAATAAAAGTTTTATATTTCCTCTTGAAAGAGAAATAAAAGCATATAATGAACAGTGATAATGAGGTAATTAGTTATATTAATGTTAAATTCTCACAAGTACTTTTTTAAATATTGGAGGAAAAGAAAAGGAATATCAGAACCATTGAGTTGGAAGTGGCTATTATAATAAAGAAAATTCATTCCACCTTTGCCAATAAAATTAATACTAAAAAGAATACAGAAACGTGATTTTGCATTGTTCCATATTTTTTCTCTACTGGAGTACATATTGTCAGTTACACAAGATCCTATGCTTGTGAATCTACAATAATTATTTTTTTCTGTTTTTTTCTTTCATAATACACACCATGGCAAAACGTCACATTTTGGGATCTGCAACAGAAATATAAAACAAATACCAAATTTCACTTGCTAAATTTAATGAAAAAATTAACATAAGCCAATTTGAAAGTTTATGTAATTATAATTTAATATTTAATCAATTATCAATATATTTTGATAATGGGAAAACCAGTGCTTTGGCCGTTAATCCCCACAGATTAATTCTAATTTTTTAAAAAGGAGTCCTATATCACACACTAAATAAATAATAATGCCCTGTTTTTCACTTTATTGCAAAATCATCTGTTAATCAAAGCTTCCAATAAGACAAAATGAATGAAATTGCAGAAAACAATATGCTCAAAAGTATGACTTATCTGAACTATAAGCATTAGTAAATAGCAACTTACACCTGATATCTTGCTCTGTTCATAGAATCGGCAGTTTTGCATCAATTGAAACGCCTAATGATTTTTCAACTGGAACATTTTTGTTTTGTTTTTCACTTTCACAGGATTGTTCAGTGAAAACATGACCACTTTAGCTGACTTCTCCTCTCTTCATTGACTCAGTGCTGCAGTACACAAAGTTTACTCATTAACAGTACTTTCTTTCCTGTTCTATCTAAACAGGTTTGAAATACAGGAACTTTATAAAACTGGATACAGCACAATTCCTGGGCAGGATATGTTGCTAATCGTGATTGGTTAAAGATTCTTATTGGGCAGTAACTAAAAAGTATGTTGACAAATGCTAGCTTATGCTTCTTTGAATGAGACAACCAAAAGGTGTATGAGATCAAGGCCAAGTGGAATTCCAGGTATTGAAAAAGGCAGAAAAGTTCCAGAAATAGAGCAGCTATGTTTATGCCTATAAAACTATTTAGCTGTAATTGTAACCTAAATATTCTGAAAAAAGTTGTTTAACATCACAGTAATAATCTGAGCATAAACTTTACCATCCAAAAATGCCAATTAAAACTTCTACAATTCCAGTCCACATAGCCACAGCTAAGAAATTTACACATTCATCTTGCACTGAGATTAAGAAAGATTTAGCCTAACAAATGTGTCCTAACCTCCAGTTGGTGAATGTTTATGTGTACATTTATTCATTCCTGCAGAACTCTTTAAACTCTTCCTGTATGAAATGTGTGAAGCTTAGAACATTATCAGAACATTGTAAGACCATGGTTGAATTAAACCAAACATGGAGTATTTCAAAATATAGTTACCAATTAAATGCCAGTGTCAATAGGACATGATCTCTAATAACTGGCATTGAGAACAGATCTTAATAGATAGAGCTACTTCCTCAGAAATCTATACAATTCATAATTTTATGAATGAAATCCATGTACACATACATACACCCCCACCTACACATACTCACCTGTTAGCATATGGGGAGGCAAAGGGGAAATTTAGCTTGATAACATTAAAGCCTGTTTCTTTTTGATATGTAAACTGATAAGATTGAATACATTGGAATAGAACTCACACAAATCAAAATTATATATCAAAATAACATTTTAAAAATATTTTGGCATCTATCATTCCTATCATTTTGAAACATCCCTCTATTATTTTACCTTCTGGAAATGTCTGCTTTTCTATTCTATTCTATTCTATTCTATTCTATTCTATTCTATTCTATTCTATTCTATTCTATTCTTTTTCCAATATGAATGCAGTTAGTCTGTTAAGTATCAGATGAATTCCAAATCCTATCATAGTATTATCTTTTAAAATAAATTGCTGTTTTATTTCAGATGGCGCTTTCTATAAATTACTGGTCTCATTACGTTCTTTCATTCCTTGTTCATTACATCTGATATCAGCTGTTTCTCAGGATTTTTATGAGTTTCTCGTCTCTCAATACTATACACATGGTCACAATGTATATTTGCAAGACATTTTGTTTGTAATCTAATTTATAATTTATGAATTATTAGGAATTAAATATGATAGTGGTAGTATGTCATATGTGTTAAAAAATGAAAGGAAATATTGTACAGAATGTTAGCTTGGTCTTCAAGGATAAAAATGTTTATGGCTTTTAAAAATAAATGTAACATAAAATCTCTTTTAAACATTTACTGTATATGCTTATTTTATCCATTTAATCATTGACTTAACTATTGCTCCATCTCTTCAGTACTTAGGCCTTCAAAGTCAACAGATAATAATGTGAAATAAATAAAACCTTTGTCACCCACTGCTACATAAGATTTTATGTAACTCTCCTAAAAATAAGAAACCTTTGTACAGTTGGCCATAATATGTATTGTATCACAAAAGAAGTAATCAAGTTTGATTTGGAAAAAATTGTGCTGTTTACAGAAGTTGGCTAGATATTCAAACTTCTTATGAAGTTGTCTTACATTTTGTCATTGTTATTATTATTGTCTATCACACATTCTTCTACTGTTAATTTCTAGTTTTAATAGTTGTGTGATTTTATCTTTGTTTCTTTCTGCGCTGTTTAATTAATTTCAATGCTACTCAAATTGTCTATTGACTTGATGTATTCTAATATTTTCTCTGGAGTATTCTAGTCCAATGACTTTATTTTATTATTTATTCATTTTCTATTACTGTTT